TATATATATATATATATATATATACAAAAAATTCCTATAAAAAAGACTACTACTAAGACATAACACTATATTAATTGAACTATATACTTAGTTCATGACATATTAACTGAATGCACTTGTAAAAATAGAATACGTGGATTTACCACATCACAAGAAAAATTCAAATAAAATTCTCACTTAAAATTTTGAAAAACTTAGCGTTGCGTCTTTGCACGTTCCGATATTGTACACAACCGTCAATAATAGCACATATTAAAAAAAAAAAACATCTTTCGGTCGACAATTATTTCGTCTTCAAGTTTTTGATTTTATAAGGAAAACATATGCCTGACGAAGAATAAAGGATTATTCGAAAGTACTTGCATTTTAAAAAAATATAAACTGGAAACAACAGACAACAGTTTTATAAATGAGGATCACGTCACTCTATGGATTAACAGTATTTTAATGCATACATTATATACTACTAGCGATGGATGTCGCCAATAATAGCATTAATATTGCTGATTGATTCTATGTGTGATTATTTCTTTGTATATAAATATATATATATATATATATATATATATATATATATATATATATATATATATATATATATATATATATAACGGTGAAATGGCTGGAAAGAAACGCAGCAAACGCCGGTTATAATCTACATCTAAACGTTAAAGAGACAGAGACTTTGATCTTTTACGTTAAATTTTCTGGCATCCGATATACCTGCATGTTATTCAGGTTTCAATCACGTTTTTATCGTTGTTATTTTTGTGTTGTTTTTTTTTTGTTTTTGTTTTTTTTTTTAATTTTCTCACGTCTTACTTTTTGTCATGAAAGAATATTCGTCTTATGATCCTAGACGTTAATGTACTGTAAAGGATTTTGAATCTATTGCCACTCCAATATATTTTCGCCATAAAAAAAAAAACTCCTTTCTCTTTAAATTGGAATTATGTTCTTTAACGGGGTTAAACCTGAACAACGCCGCAAATCCCCGAATCTCTTTGGACAAATGATCTATTGCTGGGCAAGATTGTCTTGAGGTTATGGTGCCGGGAAAGAGAAGTAGAAGAAAAACAAAACAGAGGCAGGGGGATATCATAATTCTGGGGGACACCAAATAATGAGTGACAGACACCAGATAGGCTTGCTACTACGTTCTTTGAGTAGAAATTATAGTCAGACCTATTACTAGTAAAGACTGTTGTATCCAGTGTGTTGTGAAGTATTAGTCGATAGAATAATAGACGCAAGAATTAATATAATCACAATTACGTATAATAACATTTTACTATTTGAGCAAACTAAGTAGACAATATAGAAATGTTTTACATGATTTAAACTGTGTGACAGGGACTCGATACTGTTATGGGGTCCACCCCTTTTTCATACAAGTGGACTCGCCCAGTGTGTACTTGGAGTGCTGCCGTTAAACACACAGAGTCAGTAGTTCACTTCTGAACCGACTGTTCAGTTGAACTCTCTGCCTTCGAGCGGGAGGAACCCGAAAGAGGCTACGCCGAAGGGCGGACTCTCTTTCGGGGAGGTAAACCGGCCCTGAAACCGTTTATACGGGTTCAATGGCACATTTTTGGCCGATCCCACGGGCTCGGAGATCCCACGTTAAAAAAGCCTTGTGCCACATGACGCCCTCGTGGGGGGGTGACTGAATATCATCAGTCGTTCACTTCTGAACCGACTGCTCGGTTGAACTCTCTGCCTTCGGGCGGGGAGGATCCCGAACGAGGCTACGCCGAGGGGCGGAGTCTCGTTCGGGGAGGTAAACCGGCCCTGAGCCCGTTTATATGGGCATATTTTTGGGCCGAGCGCACGGGCTCGGAGAACCCACAATAAATAACCGACCTTGTGTCACATGATGCCCCAGTGGGGGTGGGGACTGAATATCCAGTCAGGGTAGTGAGAACAGAGATTGTGATTGAGTTGGAGGTAGAGTAATAGTGTGAGGAAACCGCTTGTAGAAGTCACAGTTACGAGCACGTAGACTCTAAGGAAGTCCTACTTCGAGACTAGATTTACCAGACTATATATATATATTATTATTATTGCTACTGACCGCGTTTCTGGATTTGCTAACCGTATTACCAATTGTATTATTGTGTAAATACATCTATTTGTTATATTTCATTCCTGCGTTTGTCATTCATTCGAGACCGGATTTCATCTCGGAATCCACAACAGATACAATTTGTAGCAAATAGCTAAAAAACGATTTGAACACATTTAAAGACCGCGTTCAGGGCTCACGAAATTGTTTCATGGGATAAGAGAATTAGAGGGAAACCAAAACTAGAGATAGGGGGATAATATAATTCTGTGGTCATCAACTAATGTGTGACATATACTGAATAAACTTTCACAAGTTAGTAATAAATAGCGGGAATTAAATCATGTTAGTTCGCAATCCACCGTAGAGGCAAAAATATTGACTACAGAATGAGTTCTCATGTAAACAATTCAGTTTTACAAACATTTATCGTGTTTATCTTTAATAAAGAACGGGAGCTGACAGTGAGAAAGAGAAATACGAAGATATTTTTTAACTGGCGCTTTGAAAATCATTAAACGAGATCCAGGCTTTCCAAATCGATTACGAAGAAGTTTTGAAGGGCGTGGGGACCATCGAGTGGATCGTAACGACGAAGCTGAGGGGCATTTAAGAAGAATCATCCTAGCAGGACATAGAAGCCCGGCAGAGAAGGATGGAAAAGTGTATTAGACCCGAGGGGGGGGTTAATTTGAAGAGAAAATATGTAGACTGTGACACTAGTCCCATTATTAACAGGCGGAAATCACAAAATCACGAGACGACGTTCCAACAAAATTTAAAAGTGACTCTAGAAGCTTTTTCTCTAATTATGGCACAAATTATGTTACGGCCACACTTGGTAGCAAGGTCGAAAACGAGAACTTAGTCTAAGCGCGACCCGCCCCGAAGACCCTAACGGCGGAACAAGCGGATGATAATTACAACAGATCTCAGTGGTTGAACCAATGGATTGAAAGGGCTACGCACGACGGACATGCTACAGAAGGCGCCACTCAAAATTATAACAGAATCAGCGGCAGACCGTTACAGTTTCATAACTCTATTCTGGATATTTCGTTCTATAAGAGCCGCAGAGGAAGTCATGAAATAAAGTGTGTGAATCATTTCCTGACAAGTAAAGGTCCACCTTAAACAATTTCACGCCATCGGCACTTTCGTCTGCTATGATTTTCTTTCACCCCCAACTAACTTTTGCACCAATCGACGATATGGGAATGGATGACGGGGGAAGGTTTTGGGGGAAAATGGAAACTTCTAGTCGTGAACCTGTGCGTTGGCGGCGAATTTACTCATCAACGCCATCATCATAAAGGAAGCGATCAGCCAAGAAATTAAATTCTTGGATACGAGATAAGACCCACAACGAAGGCTCGGGGATCTAAACGAATGGCAATTATTAGATTTTCTCAGTGGAGTAAAATTAAGACGTGAGAATCGGTCAGTCGTGTCTTGCTGACTCGGATATAAATCTGATCTGTTTCCTCTTTTATAACTATTATATAAACCGGCCAATGTCTACCTTTTGTAACACTCGTTTAAACCGGTCTGTCTGAAAAGTAACGGGATTAGTTGTGCTGTGTGAGCTATGGGCGAAAGAGGTTATAAGCAGATTGTGTTATCATCTAACATGATTATCTTGGGAGTATCTTACTGTAATCTTAGCGTTTGCTTCGCTCAGTGCACGAGAAGAGACGAGAGTTGTGGTAGGATAAATCATGGCTGTTTCACCACAACAATGCATCTGCCCACGACGCTCTGAGCATCTGGCAGTTCATGGTCGAGAAGAATATCACCGTAATGGAACAATCTCCCTATTCCCCTGGATATGCTCTGTGCAAATTTTCTTTTCCCCTAGATCAGGGGTATCATTAAGGGGGCCGTTTTGAAGACGTGGGGGCCATCAAGAGAATCGTAGCAATGAAGCTGGGGTCATCGAAGAAGAATCATTCCAGGAGGGCATAGCAGCCTGGCAGAGAATGATGAAAACGTGTATTAAATTCAAGGGGGTTACTTTGAAAAGGAAACCCTGTAGTTTATGGCACCAGTCCTGTTATTTTTCAGACAGACTTTGCATGTCTACCATTTTTTTCATATTAATGTAAACTAGACTTATACATACATTTGACTCTCCTGTAAACTGTATTTATGCCTATCTTTTTTTACTTTCGTGTAAAGTGAACCTTCTATATCTAACTTCTTGACATTAGTGTAAATCGGACCTTTGTCTACCTTTTTAACCGTCTGGCGAATCGGACCTATGTTTATATTGTTGATTCTTGTGTAAACATAACCTATTTCTACATTTTTTACTCTAATACAAACCGGACCTATTTCTACATTTTTTTCACTATTGTAAACCTTACCTTCTAATCTTTTGACTCACGTCTAATCCAGACCTGTGCCTACCTTTTCGATTATAGTGTAAACCGAACACACGTCTATCTTTTTTCACTTTAATGTAAACAGGAGTGATGTCTACCTTTGTAGATACTTGTACAAACCTGACTTGTATCTACTTTTTGACTTAAAGCGTAAACCGGATCTATGTTAACCTCTTCGTTAATTCATTGTGACTTTTACTGTAAAAGACATATTCTACATTAACCTTATCATGCCCACCATGGTGGAACATATTTTAAGATAGGTCTTTTTCATACCAGACAATTCGTTGGTTGTTTTGTTTTTAGGGGCATATCAACACCTCTGTGGGTCATTTAATGCCGAGAACTAAATAGTTTGCTCGCAATGCTTTTTTTTTCATTGGTTCATTGATACAATTCTTACTAATTAACCTATAGCTGGAGGAGAAGAAGTGGATTTATACTTTTCCAAGGGTCTTTGTGAATATAACGAGCTCATCTGGAATTAGAACTTGACTCTCCGATTAAAAATTCCGAGCTACTATCCATTAGAGTTCTCGCACATCCACATTTACAGCACCTAGTATTTCCAAGCGTTCAACCCTCTAGGTACTGATCAGGCTCGATGTTGCTTAACTTTGGTGATCGTATCGGAACTGGTGATCTAGCCGTACACCGATACTAGACAAGCATTCATTTTAATTATTTTATCGATAATATTCACGGGTTATCAATTTATACTGATTTCATCAAATTTTACTAACATTGCCAAGCCTTAAAAGTTAAAAAGTAAGCATCCTTCATACCTACATAATCTACATTCCTTACTTCCTTCCTTTAGGCACTTAATAACACTCAACATTGAGTGACTCTTGGGTCTTGAATTGGGTAAACAACAGTATAAAAATACAGGAATCTCTCGATTAATGCGTTTTCCATTAGTGTGCGTATCAAATGTAAACAAATGACGTCACACATTATGAAATGGACAAAGTCCGACAACTATTTTAAGACATTTTTATGTTTATACATTCTTTTTATAGATACAAATATTTAACCGAACGCTCCTCTGTGGCCGAAACGGTTAAGGCACGTCAGGCTATATGACGGTTCCATATAGGATACAGGTTTGATTCCTGTCGGAGGACGAAACTTTTCTATGAGGTAAATGCTGTTTATTGTAAAAACAGAGCATTTATTTAAATATTTGTATCTATAAAAAGAATGTATAAACATAAAAATGTCTTAAAATAATTGTCGGACTTTGCCCACTTCATAATATATATATATATATATATATATATATATATATATATATAGGGTGTTCGTTGGTGTGCATTAAATATACCAACAGACTGACATACATAGATACAGGACTATGTGTGACTAAATAGAATTATACGTTAGGGTATTGGTTAACATGTTTTTGTGATGTCAAGGAACACTCGTTTCGACTCTTGTGACGTCAGCGAATACTTGTTGTCACTTTCATAATGCTCGCTGTAGTAGAGACTTTGTAATCGCAGATACAACTATAGTAACGCTGTTGAACAATGCTGGTGCCAGACACATTCGAATAACATTCAAATACTTGCTCGATAATACTCGCTCGAAAAGTAACCACCGAATAGTAATCCGTAGAGGATAGAATAGAAATGGTGATCCGTATAGTAATAGAGGATAGACTAGAAATGGTGATCAATTAGACACCATGCTAATTCTCATGTATGCGTTTCCTTTACGGCCACGTGATCTTCTTAATTCAATAATGGTATCGCGTGTGTTTGTTCACTGGCGATTCATGTTCAAACTACAGTCTCGGCACCGATACTTCATTCCTATATAACACAATGATATATATATATATATATATATATATATATATATATATATATATATATATATATGTATGTATATATAAATGATATACATTTTCTGTGTAATAACTTAAAATCTTTTTAAAATGAATGAAAAGACATTTAACAAATCCGAATATGAATACATTAGCAGACTTGCATATTGACAAACATCTTTGGAAAGAAAACGTATTTTTTAAATTAATATACTTTGATCTTTATTTATGAAAGTTCGATTTGGTTTTTTTCCTATTACTGTATATTTTCCCTGCACTTTCTCCGAAGCAATCGATGGATTCTGTTGTGTCTATATTAAGACAGCGGGGTCTGCGAATACAGATAACCGAACACATCGTTTATCCGACAAATTACTAAACCTGGATTTTTTTTTTTTTCACATGGAAAGTTATTTGTACTCAGAACATTAAGGAGTAGGAATTTTTCTTTCTCATAAATTTCAAAAGTTTAAGTTAGTTTTAAAATAATCTATATTAACAGTAATGGATAGCGGCTCGGATTGCGGACTCAGCGAGCCGAGTTCAAATTTCAGTCGAATCCATTACATTCACTTACGTGCGAATAGCCTTGGGAAAGGTATTAATCCTCTTCTTCCCCCCCCCCCAGCTACGGTTAAATAGCACGACAGACCGGGTTCTATAGCCTTGGATGGCAACTGGTCTACTGCAGAAAGAAATGGCAACCTACTGCGGGAAAAAATCTGCCTCGTCAGTCATGTATCGAAAGATGCATGATCGCCTAAGCGTATATCACGTATGGCACATAACTGACTGATATTGATAGAATAAATATATTCCTGTCGGCCTCCTGCAAACAATGGTTGCATCAAATCAAATTATTTACGATCTATACTGCTTACTGATAGCCGTAGAATAACGGTCTGTGGAATCGCGATGGGAATCAATTGAAATTACGATTAAAGAAATGCTACTGAATATGTGTGCAACGACAAAGTTTTAAAGAAAATGGAGGCAAAAAGGAAAAATACTTAAAATCAGGAAGAGAGTTAAAATTTCTAGGGGACATAATGAGGAAAGGGGGTTTAGAAAATCTGATACTCACAGGATAGGTGTGATGGACGGAGTAAAGCAACGCATAACATACTAAGTGAGCACGAATAAATGGATGGCAGGACAAAGTTTAGGAAAAATCACAAAAAGACTAAATTTATTAAGAGCTACGAAGGGGAGGAAAAGGAAATTGTGGCGAGCCATGACCGCCAACGTCCTAAAGGGGCGCGGCACATAAAAGAAGAAGAATCCAAAATTGTTAATGATTGACAGTGATTCATCTGATAATAATAAATTTCTTCGTACTACTACTATTAGCAGTGAGTTCGATGCTCACTGGGTGCTCCATGCATGCAGCCTTGTGCTACATCTAAACTACGCTTAGTAAATCGCTAATACTTCTTTTATGTGGCTGTTCAGCATCTGGACAATTATGGTTCTCCACAACTTCCTGAGAAGTAAATAGTTTCGCCTACCGTTCGGCTCACACTCCTCCTCAATATTTTGTCTCTTGTTTAGAATTGAGCTTCCGGTTCCTTATAAAGTTTTTTTTTTTTTCATTCGCACTTGCGTCTTAGTGGCGTCATTGCCTTGTTAGGAGTAAGATTTGACTCTTTAGCACCCACTTTGTGCAATCCATTAACAAATTCATTAGGTAGGCTGCTTGCTGTTTCGTTCTGCCTCTAAGCGAAACAGGATTCAGAAAAGAAAAAAACATCGCTGAGAGCAATAAAAGACTGAGAGCTGTGGAGAACCATGATCGCCTACATCTAGAAGCGTTCATGGTAAAAATGATGACGACGACGTTGATGATGCATTTTAATAACCTCGTCTTCAGTTATTCTCACTGTTTTCCATGGCTTTTTTTTTCTTCGTTTCGATAACATTTTCCATTGCATTTTTTATATATTCATGTCATCACATTATTTTACGAGCTCAGAGTTGGGTCTATTTTAAGAAGTTTTACAGTGAAATATTTACATTGTTCTAAATAATCCTTTATTCAGTAATGTTTAATTTTTCTCGTTTATTTATACAACCAAACGAAAAATTTATTAGTTTTATATTTCAAATTTATAATTAAGTATGCAATTAAGTATATACTTTTATTTAATTTTATTATATTTTATTTATTACATTTATATTTATATTATATTAATATTATATTATATTATTATATTATATTATATTAAATATATCATATATTTATATATGTTTATTGTATCATATTTTTTATATTAAGTATACTTATAATTATAATTGATTATAATTATATGATTAATATATAATTAATGTTTCTTGGTTATTTATACAACCCGTTTATTAAAGCTTTTTTCAAATTTATATAACTTTTCTATCTCCATTTTAAAGATTTACGAGAATAATTTCTGAAAATTCAGATACAGTGTAACCCGGATATAAGAGACCCGGATATAAGAGAAACCCGAATATAAGAGAGATTTTCTCTGGTCACAAATTAGAGCCTGTGTTAATGTATATAAATTAGACCAAACCCGGATATAAGAGAAACCCGGATATAAGAGACTTCTTCTCCGGTCCCGACAACTCTCTTATATCCGGGTTACACTGTACGTGGTTTGTTAATCCCAGTTTGTGTTGCATGATCTTAGACGTAAATTTACAATAAAGTCAAATATTGGAGTCTTCCACGGTAAATCCAAATTCAGAAACTGTTGTGATGAGATAACCCAACTTCCCCATTCACGATAATGGACGGTCTGGGGGCCGATAAAGTACGACCACAGTAAACAGTAATAGAGAGAAAAATGAAGGTCTTCGTTTACTAACACCATTGCGGTTAGCTTACTCGTGACTCTGTCTGTATTTTGACATACCTACATCCGATTATAAAATTATTATTGAAAACCACACTCGGGTTTACTTTGTTTATTATATCTTGTACGAGATATAACAGAAACTATATTTCATTTTCTCACAAAACTACTGCGATTGCAATGTGGGATATTTGAAAATAGCAACGATAAAAATGAAAGTAAAAATACATTTTCGGTAAAGACATTTTTCCGGAACCTATAATTAACACAGAATTTTTTTAGAATCGTATAACTCTTACTGGATTTTTAAGAAACTAATAATTAAAACAGATTACTCTATGAGAAATACAGGTACAATGTACCTAGTACTAATTACTCCTCATGGTCGGATCATTAACAACTAAACCGGCTTCCACGACTGTGGAGTGCAACGAGACACCAAGCAGGACTAAAATCAAAACTTGTTAAAAAGCTGATGGGGTAAGACCGGGCGCTATGCATGCAACTAATGAGGTGGTGACATTTTGTCGTTGGGGGGAGGGCTTCCAAGACTGAAACCAACCACCAGAACAGAGTGTTCTGCCGATGGAATCAATGTCCATGTTTTTTGACGAAGGTGAGCCTTAAAGTTAGAGGACATCGTCTGTGTTTTGACCTGGAGAGGGATGGGATTCGCTAGGTGTACTTGTCTAATCCGCTACTCATGAATACGTCTTCGGCTTTCAACTCAGTGGATGGAACTGATCAGAGGCTCAACTGCGCAGTGACGCTACGACCACACCTGATCATTGGACATGATGAGGTTGATGATAATTACGTCATGATTAATACTAGATATTTCAGAAACCTATAATTAATACTGGGTTTTTATTTAATACTGAATTCTGTGGTAGGAATTGATGGTAATTATACTGATTCAAACTTTCAGAATTTTCAGCAGTATTCCAAACTTTAAAATAATATTTTTTTTTTAAAATTAACTTTCTCTGG